TTATTATATCCATGTGAAGCCAAACCCTCTGGAGCAGGGAAGCAGGAATTCCTTCTGTGTGTTTAGGGAAAGTCAATACCCAGAGATTCCCAGGAATGCTTGGGAATGATGTTTCTCCCAGCCCTGTTCCTGCTCATCCACAGCCAGACCTGGTTTGTTCCCAGGGGAGTTCAATCCCAGATTTCCATCCCATTTCCCGTGGATTTGAGGGGCACATTTCCAGTGTATCCATGTGCACATTTATTATATCCATGAAAAACCCAAACCCTCTGGAGCAGGGAAGTGGGAATTGGGAGCAGAGGGAGCGGGGATGCAGCACCTGGAATGCAGGACCTGCTTCTCCCCCTTTCCATGGGGAAAATCCCATTTATCAGCAGGAAACCCAACCCACGACCTGCCCTGGAGGCTCCCGTTCCCCCTTTTCCATGGGTCTGGTTCCCACAGCAATTCCCAGTTAATTTTTGAGATAGGGGAGGAGATTTCTGCACAGGGGATGAGATCCAGCCCCTCATCCAGGAATTCCAGACCCTTTTGGGGTCTCGCTGCCCACAGGGGTCAGTGCCAAGGTGGGAGAGTGTCCAGGGGCTTCCCGAGGTGCCTCAGGACAATATGGAATGGTTTGGGAAGGAATTCCTGGCTGGAAGGGCAGGGAGACCCTGGAATGGGTTTCCCAGAGGAGCTGTGGCTGCCCCTGGATCCCTGGAAGTGTCCCAGGGCCAGGTTGGATCCCCCTGGGATGGTGGGAGGTGTCCCTGCCCATGGAAAGGTGGGATGGGATGGGATTTAAGGTCCCTCCCAACCCAACCCATTCCATGATCCCACGATTTATTGCCCGTCTTGGTGGAGCCTCCCCCAGGAAAGAAGGAATTTGCTGCTCCACTCTGGAAGAATTCCGTGTTTTCCCCTCTCCCTGCTCATCCCTCGTGTCCGTGGGCGCCGCAATCCCGGCATTTCCCGGCGTTTATTCCCTGCAATTCCCTGCCTGCGGTTCACTGACCTCCAGAGGGACAATGTCCATGGATCCACGGATCCCGGCGGGCACGGGCTCCGCTCCAGGCCGGGAAGGGGAGGGGCCGGGAGGGCCAAGGAGCTCCTTTGGAAGGCAAATTCCAGGGATTGTGTCAACAAAGAGCGTTGCCCTGGCAACAGCAATTCCCAAACAACCGGGGCAGGAACGGGCAGGTGGTTCCCGCTCCCGGGGTGACTTTCAGGATCCCGGGAGCAGCTGCTTGGGCTGGGGGGGGGTTCAGGGGCGGGTGATCCAGGGCTGCAAATCTGTGATTCTCCAGGAAAAGTAGCGGAGAGGGGAGTTTGTCTGCTGGGGATCTTCAGGTGAACACCTGGAGAGCTGTAAGGGAACATCCCAAAATCTGGAGGGGAACACCCAGAGATCTTTAGGTGAACAGCTGGAGGTTTTTAGGGGAGCATCTGGAGTTTTTTAGGGGAACACCTGGGGATCTCTAGGGGAACATCTGGAGTTCTTTAGGTGAACATTCCAAAATCTGTAGGGGAACACCAGGAGATCTTTAGATGAACAGCTGGAGGTTTTGAGGTGAACAGCTGGAGATTTTAGGGGAACACCTGGGGATCTCTAGGGGAACACTCGGAGTTCTTTAGGGGAACACCTGGAGTTCTTTAGGTGAACATCCCAAAATCTGTAGGGGAACACCAGGACATCTTTAGACGAACAGCTGGAGTTTTTAGGGGAACACCTGGTCATCTCTAGGGGAACATCCCAAAATCTGTAGGGGATTTTAAAGCAAAAAATCCTGGAGATCTTTAAACAAATACCTCCAGATGTGTAGGTGCACACCTGGAGACCTTTAGATGAACATCTGGAGTTCTTTAGGGGAACATCCCAAAATCTGTGGTTGAACTCCTGGAGATCTTTAGGGGAACACCTGGAGTTTTTTAGGTGAACGCCTGGAGACCTTTAGGTGAACATCTGGAGACCTTTAGGTGAACATCTGGAGTTCTTTAGGGGAATACCTGGAGTTTTTTGGGTGAACATCTGGAATTTTTTAGGTGAACACCTGGAGTTCTTTAGGTGAACATCCCAAAATCTGTAGGGGAACACCAGGGGATCTTTAGGAGAACTCCTGGAGTTCTTTAGGAGAACCCTTGGAGTTTTTTAGGGGAACACCTGGAGACCTTTAGGTGAACATCTGGAATTTTTTAAGTCAACACCTGGAGTTTTTAGGTGAACACCTGGAATTTTTTAGGTCAAGACCTGGGATCTTTAAGTGAACACCTGGAGATCTTTAGGAGAGCACCTGGAGATCTTTAGGAGAACACCTGCAGACCTTCAGGTGGTCCCCCAGAGCAGGGATGTCCCCGGGATCTCAGTCTGGGGGGGCTCTGGAGCACAATGAGGGTGATCAACACTCACCCTCAGCTCTCCCCGGGACGGTGGCACCTGCTCAGCTCCTGCAGAATATTCCCAAAACTCTGGAAGGGGGAAGTGCAGAGTGGAAGCAGCATCGGGAAGGCTGGGACAGGCACAGAGGAGTTTGTGGGATCTGTGGGACACTTTGGGACACTTTGGGGGACTTTGGGACACTTTGGGACGCTGCAGCCCTCCAGGAGGGAGGAGCAGGAATCTTCTGAAGCACAGGGGATTTTAGGGAATGTGGGAAAGCCGGGTGGGGAATGTTTCCAGCTTTGAGGCATCAGCTCATCCCGACAGGAGCTCGGGGCCAGAGCCGGCACCTCCAGCCTCGGGAAACCCAAAAACGGAGGGAGAGGGAAGAGAACTGGGATAGCCCTTCATGGGGACACTTTTCCTTCTATCCAGGCTCCTTCATTTTCCCTTTTATCCAGGCTCCAACTTCACAGAAATCCCCCTTTTTTTTTCCTGGCAGGTACGAGGATGAGATCAACAAGCGCGCGGCGGCCGAGAACGAGTTTGTGGTGCTCAAGAAGGTGGGATCCTGGGAATCGTGGGATCCTGGGAGTTGTGGGATCCTGAGAATCATGGGATCCTGGGAATCATGGGATCCCGGGATGCTTTGGGTGGGAAGGGACCTTAAATCCCATCCAGTGCCACCCCTTGCCATGGGCAGGGACACTTCGCGCTATTCCAGGGGCTCCAACCTGGCCTGGGACACTTCCAGGGACGGGGCCACAACTATTCCTGGGATTGCAGCCCTTCTCCCCTCCTTGTCCCTACTCTATGATTACTCCTTGTCCCTACTCCATGTTTACTCCTTGTCCCTACTCCATGTTTTCCCTCTGTCCCTACTCCCACCTTCCTCCAGCTCTGCCCGAGCCTCTGAGGTTCCATCCCCAGAATTCCAAAGGCAGCTCCCAGCAGCCCCCGAGGTCCCCCCCGGGCGCAGGAAAGCGGCGCCACATCCCAGGGGGATTCCTTTACCCGGATCTTCCTTTGGGAACCTTCCCAAGGTCTCCGTGTCCAGCAAACAGGGATCCAGGGGATCCTCGGGATGCTCAGGATCCTCGGGATGCTCAGGATCCTCCCCACGGGCAGAATTAGACCCCGGGGGATCAGGTTCAGGTCCCGACGTGTCCCTGGGGAGCCTCGGGAAGCCTCGTTTGGGAGCCCCCAAAGCCTGGCTGGACTCCGACGGCAAAGCTTCGCTGTTCCATGGATTATCCCTGGTTTTTTTTAGGATGTGGATGCTGCCTACATGAACAAGGTGGAGCTGGAGGCCAAGGTGGATGGGCTGACGGACGAGATCAACTTCCTGAGGGCTTTCCAGGAGGCGGTGAGGACCTGCCTGCTTCCCATCGGGGGGAGGACAGGGAATGGGGCTGGGAATATCCGTGTGCTATTCCCAGGGGTGGGAAAGGGCACGGAGATGGGGCTCTGCCCTTCCAGAGAGCCTGGAAATGGAGCGATTCCTTGGAATTGCCGTGGGCTGTGCCAGGGATTTCCCCCTGGCTGGGGTGGGAGGTGGATTCACTGCAAACAATCCCAGGACAGGATTTGTTGGGATGGGAACACGGGAAGGGGGAGCGTTGTAGGGCTGGGGGAGTTTGGGATCTGGAAAAATGGGAAGCTGCCGATCCCAGGCTCCTGCAGCTTCCCCAAGATCAGGGATTGTTTGACCTGGACATTCCTCGGGAGAGGGGCTGGAATTTGGCCCTGGGTTGGTGCTCCCGGGCCTGGGACCAGCCGGGAATCCCAGGAATGGGGGGATCAGGAGCCACATTCCCGCTGGGTTCTGTGACTTTGTGCTTCCCAAGGTTGGCTCCCTCCTCATTAGTGACGATTTAGATGGAGTTCTACTAATTAGTGACGATTTGGGTGGAATTCTCCTGGTTGTTGATGATTTGGATGGAATTCTGATTATTGATTATTTCGATGGAATCCTGATTATTGATAATTTGGGTGGAATTCTGATTATTGATGACTTGGATGGGATCCTCCTGACCGTTTGTGACTTGGATGGAATTCTGATTATTGATGATTTGGATGGAATTCTCCTGATTATTGACAATTTGGATGGAATTCTGATTATTGACAATTTGGATGGAGTTCTCCTGACTATTGATGACTTGGATGGAATTCTCATGGTTGTTGATAATTTGGATGGAATTCTCCTGATTATTGATAATTTGGATGGAATTCTGATTATTGATTATTTCGATGGAATTCTGATTATTGATAATTTGGACGGAAGTCTCCTGATTATCGATGCCTTGGATGGAATTCTGATTGTTGATAATTTGGATGGAATTCTCCTGATTATTGATACTTTGGATAGAATTCTCCTGATTATTGATGACTTGGATGGAATTCTGACTATTGATGCCTTGGCTGGAATCCTCCCGCTCTTCCTCCCTTTCCCTCCCGGGGTTCTCTCTCCCACCTGCTTCCCAAAGGAGAGGCCCTTCCAAACTCAGGGATCACAGGCAGGATGTGGTTTGTTTTTCCCTGCAGGAGATCAACGAGCTGCAGGCCCAGATCTCCGACACCTCGGTGGTGCTTTCCATGGACAACAGCCGGAACCTGGACCTGGACAGCATCATCGCCGAGGTGAAGGCGCAGTACGAGGACATCGCCAACCGCAGCCGCGCCGAGGCCGAGGCCTGGTACCAGAACAAGGTGGGACCTGGGAGCACGAGCTGGGGAAGGGAAGGATCCAGGGAGAGCTTGGAGCCACTTCCAGGGCCTGAAGGGGCTCCAGGAAGCTGGAGAGGGACTGGGGACAAGGGCTGGAGGGACAGCACACAGGGAATGGCTTCCCACTGGGAAAAGGGGGGGTTTAGGTGGGATTTTGGGAAGGAATCCTTGACTGCAAAGGCAGTGAGGGGCTGGGATGGGTTTCCCAGAGAAGCTGTGGCTGCCCATGGATCCCTGGGAGTGTCCAAGGCCAGGTTGGATCCCCCTGGGATGGTGGGAGGTGTCCCTGCCCATGGAAAGGTGGGATGGGATGGAATTTAATGCCCCTTCCCACCCAACCCATTCCAGGATTCCTTGATTCTGGAGCCATACTGGGAGAGCTGGGAGGGGTTCCCCTGGAGAAGGGAAGGCTCCAGGGAGAGCTTGGAGCCCCTTCCAGGGCCTGAAGGGGCTCCAGGAGAGCTGGAGAGGGACTGGGGACAAGGGATGGAGGGACAGCACACAGGGAATGGCTTCCCACTGGGAAAGGGGGGATTTAGGTGGGATTTTGGGGAGGAATTCCTGGCTGGGAGGGTGGGGAGGCCCTGGGATGGGTTTCCCAGAGGATGCCCCTGGATCCCTGGGAGTGTCCAAGGCCGGGTTGGATCCCCCGGGATGGTGGGAGGTGTCCCTGCCCAGGACAGGGGGTGGCACTGGATGAGCTTTAAGGTCCCTCCAACCCAAACCATTCCCTGATTCCAGAATCCACATCTCTCCCAATCCCTGTATCCTGTGTGCCATGAGTGGGAGAGGTTTTATCCCAGTAATTAAACCCATCCTGACAGCTAATTAACCCCATCCTGATGGCTAATGAACCCCATCCTGGTCTCTGTTCCCTGTCCCAGTACGAGCAGCTCCAGGTGACGGCCGGGAAACACGGGGATGACCTGAGGAACACCAAGAACGAGATCACGGAGATCAACCGGACGATCCAGAGGCTCCAGGGGGAGATCGAGAGTGCCAAGGCCCAGGTGAGGAGCTGCAGGTCCTGATCCCTCTGGTGACCCCTGACAGGAGCCAGGGAACGGCCGGAGCTGTGCCGGGGGGGGGGGGGTTGAGGTGGATTTTGGGAAAAGATTCTTTTCCCAGAGGGGGGTCGGGCTCTGAACGGGCTCTCCAGGGTTTGGGATGGATTTTGGGAAAAGGTGATTCCCTCAGAGGTGGATCAGGCTCTGAATGGGCTCCCCGGGGTTTGGGATGGATTTTGGGAAAGGTTCTTCCCCCAGAGGGGGGTCGGACTCTTAACAGGCTCCCCAGGATTTGGGATGGATTTTGGGAAAAGGTTCTTCCCCCAGAGGGGGGTCAGGCTCTGAATGGGCTCCCTGGGGTTTGGTCACAGCTTCGAGGCTGCCAGAGCTCCAGAGCTCTGGGAGAAAACGCCCTCAGGAGTTGGATTTGGGGATTAGTGGGATTTTCAGGCTTGGAAAACGCCCTCAGGACTTGGATTTGGGGATTAGTGGGATTTTCAGGCTTGGAAAACGCCCTCAGGACTTGGATTTGGGGATTAGTGGGGTTTTCAGCCCTTGTGCAGGGCCGGGAGCTGGAGCTGATGGTCCGTGGGGGTCCCTTCCAGCTCTGGGCATTCCATGATTCCAGGGGTGTTCCGGGGCTCTGGGTGTCACAGGACACCCTGGACTTGGGGACCCTGGAGCTCCTTTTCAACCCCAAGGATTCAGTGACCTGGTGAAGCATTTTGGGGTGGCTGTCCCCCCTCATCCCGAAGGATTCCGGTCCCACCGGGGCAGGAGGGGCGTTGTGAGGGATGTGATCCCGACAGGAAGGTGGGCTGGGGTGGGAAGGAGCAGGAATCAACCCCGGGATGCAGAAGAGGGGGGATGCAGAGCCCCAGGGCAGGGCTGGGGTGGCCCCACACCTTCCTCCTCTTCCCGGGCTCGTTGTCCACTCCCCTTTTCCAGCAGGGAACACCATGTTTGGGCACACTCGGGAATTTCTGGGCGCTCCGTTTGCTCTGCCCGGGGGTTTTTATCTCTCTATCAGAGGGCTGGGGCCGGGCAGGGCACTGAGCGGCTCCCACCGGGCTCTGAGGCTGCTCTGGGGTAACCTGAGCTCCCCGAGCCGCTGATAAAGCGGGTGATTCATCCCCGGCTTTGTTTGGTTTCGGGGCAGGGAGGCCCCGACACACGCGGGGTTGGAGCCAAGAGCTGCCCGGAGCAGCTCTTTGAGTAATGACTGAGAGCACAAAGCCCTTTGTGAGCCCTTCCTGCCAAAGCCGGGCCCCGGGGAGGGGCAGGGGCACAGCCGGGGGTTCCAGCTCCACATGGGGCCTCAGGGGTGGTTTTGGGGTGGCTCTGGGATATTTGGTGGCTCCAGGTCTGCTCCAGGTCCTGCTGCCCCTCATCTAATGTCCCCTCATCAAAGGCTGTCAGAGACCAACCAGCTCCCAAGGAGCTCTGGGATGAATTAGGAGGTGCAGGGGCACAGCCGGGGGTTCCAGCTCCACATGGGGCCTCGGGGGTGCTTTTGGGGTGGGACTGGGAGCTTTGGTGGTTCCAGGTCTGCTCCAGGTCCTGCTGCCCCTCATCAAATGTCCCCTCATCAAAGGCTGTCAGAGACCAACCAGTTCCCAAGGAGCTCTGGGGTGGATTAGGAGGGGCAGGGTCACAGCCGGGGGTTCCAGCTCCACATGGGGCCTCGGGGGTGCTTTTG